TCAGTGATGATCCAGCAGTCATTTAAACTGTTCGACTTCCCTTCCATCTAGTTCATTTATCCACTGTGTAGCTTGAGAATGCTGTGATAGATGGTTTTGTCACTCAGGGGATATCTGGTGAGTTTTAAGCTTACTGGAAGTGTAACAAATTGATCTGAAAGTTGGTGCTGGAATTTTTCTACTATTCTCCAGTCTTGAGGTTCAGAGGTGCGATTCCCCTCTGCACTTTTTCCTCCTACTTTTGTGACTTTACATTAACTTTCAGAGAGTAACTTATGGGTCTTTTTTGGCAGTGCTTCTGCATACAATACCTACAGTCAATATCTTGTTACCTTTCAAGCGCCGCTGTTTAGATGGCACTCTTACTGTTGACTTCCCTCGGATATGCAACCTTGCGAGTGTTACCTAGCTGCTTCTTAATATAGAGCATCAGTTCGGTGTTGCTGTTTGTGTGTTTGCAAGCTTCTTGTATTTTTATACATAATTTTAAGCATCTTTTATAACCTTCTGCAGCTCTTACAAAACTGCCCACCAGGGAATGTTTCTGGTAGTAATAAAAAAGAGAGGGAGAGTCCTTACTGTGACAATTTATTTATAAATAATTTTTGATGATAACCTGTAACGTCCTCATGAAAGAAAGGAGTGAGTTTCTTCATAGTTCTTCACAATGGGTTATATAAAATATTGTTGTATCTGCTATTACTTTAAAAAAAGGAGAGCTTCCTCTTAGAAGTCTGATTCCTTCATCTACTTAGGTTTTTAGTTAATGTGTTCTTTTGGTAACCTTTTTATCATTTCATGGGACTGTGTAAAGCAGTTCAGGAAAAGCGGGTTAATAGAAGAATATAGACTGTAAAGTCTTCTAAAAGATGTGGGTTTTGGTCCCAGTGGAGACTGACACTCCAGCCTACTTACTGTAGCTGGAATGTATTGATTTTCTTCTCCCCCATTTTAGCTGCACCACTGAATTAGGTATTGTGAAGCATCTTTCCCTGTGAAGAGAGGAAAAACTGTCATGAACTTTTTCACCCTAACAGCACAGCATTTCAAACTAAACCCGATTGAATGGAAAAGTCTGTAAGGACTCTTAAAAACCTTGAAACTCAGCTCCCCACTCTCATTTCTCTCCCTCCAATAGCTGTTCCGGCAACCTTGACAAAATATGATAGATGATTGTACAAAATTAATTTTTTAATACTTTTTCATTAAAATTAACAACAATAATAATAGCAGCAAAAATCTGTGAAAATGATGCATTCCT